AGGTAATTAAAACAAGAATGAATGAATAAATAATAAAAATAAAATTTAAAAGAATTAAATTGCATACCCCTTCCCCCCTTCTTGAGTTCATACCAGAATTCAGTAAAGCTTTTCATGCAATATTTTACCACTAAAACATTTTTTTAAATGTATTATTCAAGAGGAAAATCATACTATGTCACAAAAATCTTATATTTCTAGTTTGTGTATTGAAAATAATCCTGAAAACATTCGTAATTAATAAATTTTATTAACAAATAAAGTAGAGTTGTGTCTTTTCCGTAAAGTCTGGTGAAAGGGGCCACAGAAAGATCCTCCCCTCCATAGTGCGTAGTACGCAGTCTAGACAGTGACGTCATTGGAATTCGTTGAAATGAGTTTTTTTGTTTCACCAAAAACTTAGTAAGTTTATTAAAAGTTGAATAAATCTTCCTTTAAAAACAGAGTACGCATATGAAATATCAATTATTACAGGTTGTTAAAAATTCAACAGTTTCCGCTGATTCAGCCAATGAATGACGTCACATGTCAGGTCTATGACGATCGATTGCTAGTTGAAAACGAAAGTAACAAAGATGTGTACTATAAGGGTGTTTTTGATTATTAGAATTGATAAAACTTCATTAAGGCAGGATTGGAATTAAAATTACGATTCTCCAGCATCTCGTTTATGCGGGAATTTGTCGCGAGATTCAAGATGGAAAAGACTATGGACGCCATATTGGCGACAAGGTTCTCAGTTCCATAGGTATTGTAACAAAAATATAGTTTACAATAGAATTCAATATATTTTACATACATACGTGTTACCTATAGGGAGAGCTTCGCTCTCACGGGCCCTTCGGGCCCGTGAGAGGGCTCCGCCCTCTATAATATAATGATGTTAGTACTGCACATAATAGATTTTTCACTTCATGTAAAGGTGTCGCACTGAATGAAATTAACTTGGCACTTCACATGCAGCGGGTTTCATACAATGTAATGATTGCTTTATTACACAAATTATGTTTGTACTGTATATATTGAATTCATCACATCACAGAAAGATATCAGCAATGTATGAAATGGAAAAACCACTGCATATAATGATTTTACAACATAATGTATCGATATTATCACTTCATTACATTATTTAACCAATACATATAATGACATTGCCACTGAATATAATGATAAAACCACTGCATACAATAAAGTTATCAATGAAAATAATGATTTTATCACTGTATATAATGATAAAACAACTGCATATAATAAAGTTTTCAATGAATATAATGATTTTATCACTGTATATAATGATAAAACCACTGCATATTATAAAGTTTTCATTGAATGTAATGATTTTACCACTTTATATAATGACTTCACCACTTCACATAAAGGTTATACCACCTCATATAATATGAAAATGACCTTCAGGCAGCTATGGCGTTCCATAAACTCAGCATTATTTGAGTTATACATGTGTGCGTGATTTGGAGACCAGGTTTTCCAATATTTGGGAATTCCATCCATAATTCATTTTGTTCTATTTTGTTAGCCAATCAACGACGTTTATCAATTAACAATTTTCATCTTCATTCATACGTTGATTCGATATATCCAACAAAATTGTATATAAGAGACACCACAGAGTCTGACATATCTGTTTAACATTTGGATGTTTTACTAAAAAAGGAAATTAATGGCAAACGGCAACTTTATGATAAACACCATGACTTCAACTCTTACATCGTCAACTTCTCTCATTTATGTAGCAATGCACACTTATCATAGCTGCATATGATGTTTATGGCTCGGTTGATTCGATATCAAGAGCATGTTCTACCTATGATAATTTCTAAATTCTAATTTCGAGGCAGCTACTGTAAAAGTAACTTGATGTTACAAGGGTATCAGCAATCTCCTTTAAAGTCAACTTATCCAAATGTTATTTTCGATATGTTGACCTTGTTTGTAAATACATGTACAATCTGTTATTAGATCGAATGTTGACTGACATTTTTAATATTAATTAATAGGGTCATCTGTAAAAAAAAATGTTTGTTTGCCCCTCTCCTGACTCAGGATAAAAAACTGAGTCGGTAGGCCATTTTTTCGTACTAATTTGTCTACGAATTACTCTTGTTTATACAATTAAGACAAAGTGATCAGGATGGTTTTGATTGGTCAACAGGGAATGATTACTCCTCCATGATCCCCTCCTGAACTGAACTGAACTGAATTTATTGATCTCTTCACAATTTTACAATTGTATAGCGAGATATAAATGTAAACTACAATGATGAAAAATAAAAACACATATATGGCATGCGTGAGTATGAGGATAGACAAATAGTACAATTATAGGTTTAGGTCTTTACTAGTTTGGGGAGCACGTTTTAGTAATTTTTTTTATAAATATACACAGTTTTCTTAAAAATGGCTGTTTATCTGAATTCATTATTTCTCTAAATGTAATTGTATTTTTGAATCGTAATTGTTTTTGTGTTAAACATTTATTTCTTTCACGTGTCATTGCCGTGCAATTTAATATGTAATGGAATTCATCTCCTATTTCATTTAATTGACATTTCTTACATAGTCTAATCTCTCTTGGTTCATTTAACCAACGTCCAGTTTCAATTGGCAAATAATGATTACAAGTACGGAATTTGCAGAAATTTATGGCTTCTTTTCGTGATAGAATTTCTAAATATTTTTCAAATTTTAGTTCGTCTTTGTATATTCTATAATTTAGGGTCTTTGATAAATTTTGAACATCCGAATTCCATTTTTGTTTAAATTGATCTATTAAAGTTAGTTTTACTTTCGCTCTTAACCAATTTGGATTGAAGGCTTGACTGTTCCATATATTTGAAAGTCCACAATCGTTTAAGATATTTAAGACATTATTTATCCAAGCAATCTTCTTAGTCTTTTGATTTACGGTATCACTTAATTTAAACAGCAGACTTGATATTTTTGTTTCTTTTCCAAGTTTAAGTTTACACCAATAGGAAATAATACGCGTTTGTATTTCAATGGACATGGGATGTCGACCGAGTTCACCATACACCATACAGTCCGGAGTAGATTGTTTAAGGTTAAGAAGTAATTTACAAAATTTTAGATGTACTCTGTCTACAATTGCATTGTTCGAAAATCCCCATACTTCACATCCGTACAACAATATAGGCTGAACAATTTTATCGAACAGGTCTAACTGACATCGTATTGATAGATTATGTAAGCGGCCTTTCAAATATTGCTTTATTTGCTTTGTCAACTTGTTTCTGCTTTGCTTCCTTGAAAGAACCTGACGTACTAAATAAAATACCCAAATAATTAATTTCATTTACAACTTCAATCAGCTGTTCGCCGTATTTAAACTCAGGCTTTTCTTTTTTCTTTCCTTTACTTATTATCAAAACTTTTGTTTTGTTAATATTAATCTTCAAATTCCATTTTCTGCAATATTTTTCAAAACAATTAATTTTTGCTTGTAAGTGCTCGGCAGATTCAGCTATCAATACGGTGTCATCGGCATATAATAGTGCAAATAATGTCAAATACACATTTAAATGTTGTTCAAACATAACAGATATAGTAGGTAAACCAATTGACATATTTTGTTGGAAAAAATTCTGCAGGTCATTTAGATAAATTGAAAATAAAAAAGATGACAAGTTTTCACCTTGTCTGAAACCATTTTCACAATTAAAAAAATCAGTAACGTTATTATCATAGACTATCCTTGATTTGATTTGATTATACATATTCGTAATAACATTGTACATATTTCCATTAATATTGTTTGCACACAATTTAAACCAAAGAGCTTTTCGCCATACATTATCAAATGCTTTCTCGAAGTCTATGAAAGCACAAAAAAGTTTTTTCTTATTTAGTTTCAATAATTCTGATATAATATGTATGGAAAATATATGATCAACAGTTGAATATTGTTTTCTAAAACCAGTTTGATTTTCCTGCAATATTTCATATTCGTTTGAAAAATCGTTTAATCTATCATTTAATATGGATGTAAAAAGTCCTTGATGTTTCCAGGAGTTTTTGCAAAGATCTCAATTCTTAATGTTCAATTGAGCATTGAGAATAAATGTTCATTACCCTCACATTTTATTCTACTCTTAAAATTCAAGAGCTTCAGGGGGGGGGGGGGGGGTTCGCCCCCTGGACCTACACAATGACTTCGCTCTGTAAAAATAATAAGTCATTTTGTACCCTGCCCATTGAACCTATGTCATACAAATGCAAGATGTAAATTATTTATATCTATAAATAAACACAAGTAATCAACATTTATATATGGAAAAAACCCTTTTCTTTAAGGGAACATTAAAAATATAAATTTTGCAGCACATGTTATTCATCAATAAAATAAATGTATGTTTCTCACTTAAAAATCTATATACATTTTTTTTTCTAGCACAACGATGCTAAGTTTTGGCATGTTTTATCATATTTACTAGCTATATAATTTTCTTCAATGTAAGTATAATTACATTTTTTAGTGTTGTCAAATCGGACGATTTTTAGTAACTAATTAATCGCTTAATTTCCGATCGAGTACCCGGTTACTCGCATGACTTTTCTTTAGACCTCTAAACATCCTTCTCGCGGTAAATATTGAATAGTAACTTTAGACAAAACGAATCGTGAACAGGACGAAAATACGGACCCCCGGAAACACAAAAAGGTGGGATCAGGTGCTGCCGAGTAACCCGAGTTAATCGATTTTCACATCGTTCGACGAATAACCGGGTATTCGTGAACAACACCATTTTTTTTGTTTGCAAAATTAATAGATATATTGAATTAATTTAAAATTCATTAAGTTACAAGCTATTAAAAATATGAGAAATTTTGGTGAAAGTTTGATTTTTTTTTCATCATGAACAGAAACTGACATTTTTACGAAGAAAAATTAATTAAATAAGACAGGTTAATTAGTTAGGTCTTTGAAAGAAATTTGCAATTTTAATAATAATACTCACCCTCCGGACAGACCTTAGACTTACAGTGCTTGTGTCCCTATAAATGAATTCAGTATGAAGTCTTACAAGTTATAACCATGATGCAAATGAAGAAAAATCGTGCACAGTATACGTGTTTATATCAAATTCCTTAATTCTTAAAATTATTTTTTCAAAGTTTGTACAGAGAAAATCATAAGATTTACAAGGAAGACTTTATGTTGTGAATTCCTCCAAGACATACGTCAATGAAGATCAATTGACCTTTTCCCAAAAAAATCATTCGACTATTGTTTGTCTCAAGTTTTTCTGTGTATTTTTTTTTCATGTAAGAATTTATGAATCTGACTTAAACCTTGAGTCAGTTACATAATTCTTTTATGAAGAAATACCCGAGAATTAATAATGTTTTCCATTTTCGAATTTATTACGTATTTTTGTGAAAAGGAATCTCAAAATTGATTTGTGCTTTAGATTAAAATAAGATTAAGTTAGATATTATTTGTAAAATAATCTTCAAAAATCTAAAATAAGTCAATAAATTGTATCATTTCCAAACAAAACTGAAACCATTTCTTCCGTCTCTGATTAGAGTTATTGACCGACCAATATAACTTTGTTTTTAAATTCTAAAGTTTTATCTTTTTTCTTACCTCAGATGAGATTATAGCAGCACAAAAAGTAATGAAAACAAAGATAAATATTCGATCATCCATTCTTCACTTCACATTATCATGATTTTCAATCTCATGTAAATGAACGCTTAACTATTCATATAAACCAGGAAATTGCCAAGCAAATGAATTTTATAAGGGGGAAACATATTATCAATATATAAATAGAAAGACATAAGCACTTGTTTGGTATTTCCGTTTTCATTTCCTTAAAGTATTCCCAAGTGCTCTTTACATACTAGTAGATACACATCAAAGAATAAGACTGAAAAACAGATGAGAAATACTATCTGATTGAGGTACACTTAACTTTATCCCTGATGTACATTAAGGAAATTATTCCTAAAGAATAGCCATGATTACATGCACTCATTTAAATTTTCCATATGCACAAATTTTGGCATGTTAGTATGTGAGTATTTTTGATCCTAGTGCAAAATACATCTAGTCAGACTAAGTGCAAATAAATTTCCTTGAGTGTTTTAGCCACATGTACGCATACCAAAATTTTCATCCTAAATTGTCTAAAAAAAACAACTTTGCAGTCTTTCCATAAAACTTGCATCATGTTCTATATTGATTAGGTAAGAGCAGTCACCTTCTATGTCAATTCAAATATTGTTTTAAGTAGCATTTTCTTAAGTTTACACATAAAAGTATGGCGATCTAAACGTTGCATTATTATACATTTTTGTTATTCTTATTCAAAGATTCATCATTTTTATTCTATAACACATCATTCCTATTTGATAAAATGTCATTCCTATTCGGTAAGTTATCATTTCTATTTAAAAAAAAAGATTCCTATTCGTTAATTCGTCATTTCAATTCGATAAATTGTTATTCCTTCTGGAAGAAATGTGATTCCTATTCCACATTATATCAATCATATTCGAAAACATGACATTGTGTTTCCTATTCGATTATATGCCATTCATATTCGAGAACATGTGATTCCTATTCGATAATTTTGTCATTCTTATTCGATAATTTTGCCATTCGATAATAATGTGATTTATAAGCAATACACTTGTTATTCCTATTCGAAAACATATCATTCCTATTTGAAAACATACGATTTTTATTCAGATCATTTAATTATCGAATAAGAATGACAAAATTATCGAATAGGAATAACAAAATTATCGAAAAGGAATCACATGTTTTCGAATAGGAATAACAAGTTATCGAATGATAAATTATCGAATAGAAATCACATTTTTTCGGAAAAGAATGGCAACTTATCGAATAGGAATCGCACTTTATCGAATAGGAATGATGTGTTTTAGAATAAGAATAACAAAATTTTGAATAGGAATAACAAAAAAGTATAATAATGCAACATTTTACACGCCATATATGAGTAACTGGAGTAAAATTTACATCTAAGATTTATTGGGCGCATGTGAAGGGAAGTTTAGTGAAATGTACACACTGGACCTCTGTAGAGGATACACTAGAAGTCACAGCGGTCTATATTGTAATCTGCATGCTGCAAACGATTATAAATATAAAACAGTATCTGCATGAAGTGCAGAATAGGACTAATTGCTTTGCACCACGGGAGATCCTAATGCGGAGTCATATAGAGAATGATGTGATAATTGGTATGAACAGCATGGAGGAAATATTTAGCTTTCATTGGATTTATATAGTGTCAATGACCTAGTAATTTGGAACAATACCCCATCGCAAGAATGATAGTAAAATTAAGAGGAGACCCCTAAACAACAAAGATAAACCATATACTAATGCCTTATAAAGTATATATATGGCGCGACAAGAGAATTCATTGAACAGCTTTGATAGATTATAAAGTAGTCATCTCTGATCCTCGGAGACACACTTCTGTTTTTACACTGGTTTATTCAAATACTTTTTATGAATAACACATTTTGCGCAACCAAACCCAAACACACTTTCTGGCATATATGTTCCCGTTAAGGAAGCTGTTTTGCTTGATAAATTGAAACTTATTACGTCATTAAATACTTCAGACGACTTAATACCGCCATATATATTAATTGAATCACCCTGCAGTACTGATCCAAAACTGTATCGCTCAAATCCTGGAATGCATCCAATGTCCTCAACTGTTCCATCCTCGAATGACAATATTTTCCCATCAGGGCATACTATGATAACTTTTCTTTGATAACCAATAGCAGACGATAAACGACAGAAAACTGGAAGTTGGGAAATAACACTGCACGTGTTTCTGCGAGTATCAAAACACTGAACAATCTTTGTATCAAAGTTTTCTCCTGTCACTCCACCGAACAAGAATATTTTCTCACGATCAACAGCGGAAGAAGCCGATCGGACTGGTGTACTGAGATATCCACAGTCTTCCCATTCACCAGTAGAAAGCTTAAATTTCTCTATAGCTAATATCGTTTGAAACTCTTCTTCATTTGCATCATCAAAGCCTCCCAAAACATAAACAGAATCCCCGACAGCTTCCATAGAATGACGTCTTCTCCCTAGCAACATGGACTGGCACCGTGTCCAGATGTTTTGATTACTGTGGAAGCACAGCATTCCTTTCAGTTTTGAGCTTCCACCAGACACAAATATCGCATTTCCATAAGAACACGTCGCAAATTCAACACCAGGATCGTATGGTAGCGATTCTAGATAGTTCCAATTCTTGTTCTTACGGCAACACACTACTGTTCTCGTCGTTTGTTCCCTTTCATTACTTCCGCCGATGCAGACGACGACCTCTTCGAAATCCCCTAAATTTCTATAAACCAGTCTTGGAGATATAAACTCCTGTCTTCTTGCAGGCAGGAGATGATAACGCTTTGCTTCATCCAAAATTTCTTTGCATTCTGTCTCATTTTGAATCAAAGGATTTTGTTCAACTACTTCAAGTAGGTACTCTGGTTGCAGAAGTGGAAGTCTAAGATGTTCGAACAAAGTTTTAATGTGCTGTTTTCGATTACAAATGTCAGCATGTAGCCAATCAAATACTGTTTCAATCACTATCTCTTCATTTTTCACATTGAGATCATTGTCACTTATAATACTGATGACTTCAAAAACATCCAGGGTTCTAAAATCCTCAGTTTGGCAGACCTCAGCGAAGTAATGCAGGATGAAACGAAAGGATTTCTGAGTCAAGTAATGACAACCATGGCCCTGAGCAAGCTTCCACGTGCCGATACAGTTCTCGATGTCAACTTTCGATATCATAAACTCTTCACAACGTTCTTTAAGACATTTAATCTGCATCATAACGGAAGTTTGCAACACATCACCTACATTCTCTTCATCTAAGGCGAGTGTTCCACTGTAAATGAACTGAAGTATTAGATTAAACGTGGAGCTTGGAACATTCTGAATATTGACTTTATGATTTTGGGATTCTATCATCCCGGATGAAAACATGGCATCAAAGTAAGGTGACATGGCGGCTAGGATAAGACGATGGCAGTGGAAAGTCCTGCTTTCAACTACGATTTCCACATCAGTATACTGAGAAGACTCGTACAACTGTTGTAGACCAGAAACCATTGCTGTGATGTAGTCAGACTGTAGACGATCCGATTCTGTCTTTCCCATGATGTCTGAAATGAAAGAAGTGCTCGTCATTAGAATTTAAATAACAACTCATGATTTAGATATACATGTATCGATGCATTCAGTTTAATTTATTGTGTTGTTTGTTTAATCTGTACTACAACTGCACAATACTAATGGTAAGTTACCACTATAGCTTATTTGTATCTGTACATAAAGTTTATTTATTGGGTTAATTGAGTGGGTTTTCTACATATATGAAAAAGATGTGTGGACAAAGTCATCTGAATTAGCCAGGTTATGATTGTTAAATAACAAGCATTCTGAGAGTATTGCATTAGCAATACTAGTCCCCTACCGGCAAGTGTAATCTGGTTCCCGTAAGAATTGAAAATGCCATAATTCCGTCAAAAATTAATGAAGCGGGACGAAATGCAAACTTGATCTATAACTAATCAAGGTAAAGCCACATACTAAAAATCAGCTCAATATCTACAAGCGTTTAGAAGAAAATTGCGGAAAACCCGTAAAAATTGAAAAAGCCGTAATTCCGTCAAAAATCAGTGAAGCGGAACGAAATGCAAACTTGATCTGTAACTCATCAAGATACACTCACATACCAAAAATCAGCTTAATATCTGCAAGCGTTTAGGAAAAAAGTGCGGAAAACCAAGTGGGACAGACTGACAGACAGACAGAGGGACAGACAGACAGACAGACGGACAGACAGACAGACAGACGGACGGACAGACGGACGGACAGACTCAGAGGAAACCTAAAGTCCCCTCCGGTTTCACCGGTAGGGGACTAATAACAGTAAGAGTACTCTGGTTGCATATTTCTGTCGCCTTCATGCAAGATAAATTATGTCAACATGCGAGAAAAGTATGTCAACATGCAAGATAATTATGTCTACATGTAAGATAATTATGTTGACATGCAAGTTACTAATTATCTTGCATATGTTGATATACTTTTCTCACATGTTGACATAGTTTATCTTGCATGTAGGGGGCAGAAATATGCCACCCTAGAGTACTTATCTCGTATATCAAAATTTAGAGCAGCCTTATAGCGAAATCATTATATCTGTTTACATTCAATAGATTAATATGATTTAAAAGATAGCGTGCAAGGCGCTGAAATATGAACCTCTTAAGATAAGTTCACAAGAGGTACACATAATATTAAAAATAATTCGTATCAAAAATGCAGAATTAAAAAAAACGTGTGTTTTTATGCTGTGATGATCGATAGAGATTCACTGGAAGTGTGCACTCGTGTTTCTGATAATTCACTGTGATCCACTGTATGTACCTATACAACATACTGATTAGCAAACAATGTAAACAAGACATAATCACTCGATAACATAAAAGGTAAATATATATCTTATATCTAGACAACAACATTTTATCTTACCCTACCTTTCTCCATGCAATACGACATTTAACGTCTTAACTTGTTTGGACAGGATTCCAAGAAAGATAACTCCATAATACTGAATAAACCATGTACGGAGCTTTGAAGAAAATTTATAATTTATAATTCGTAGACTTTTGACGTGATATTATTCTACATCAAAACAAAGACATTTTGTAATTAAGATAATAGGGATTTTACCATAATCTATCATCAAGGTTATGGTATAAATTTTTTCCTATATAAGTATAGAATCATCAAGGGTCAAACGTATCATAAATTGTCAGACCAGTGAAGGTCGTGGTATATACCTACTGTACATGTACATTGTACTTCTTTTGAATTATACAATTACGTTAAATGTTTGTTAATTTGATTTTTTCTGCAATTACATCCTAGTCCCTTCCTCCTAGTCTATAATTTGATGAATAAATTTAAAATATATCTTCATAAATGTTCAAAACTTTTATTCAACAATATCATTTACATGATTAGCTAACTATTGAAATCAAAAATTTCTTGCTAATATTTGTAATGACCGCAAAATACTGGTTTGAATCAGGAGGAAATGGGATCTGCTTAATATCACAAAGTAAACGTTTATTTTCCGATATCCCATACTGAATGACCTTACTCTCTCCCTGAGCAGTCTTTGTATCACTGACCAGTAGAATACTTCCTCTGTAGTAGACAACAGAATAGCCAGACATCATCAGGCGCTTCTGAATGGTCCCTATGTATCTAGGCTCCGGGGCGCAAGGATTTGTTCTATTAGATTGTAAAACTTTTCCTTCTGCAGTCACATGGTAAAAGTAGTCTTCACACCAACAAATTCTCATTATTCCAGTAAGGACCCCTTTTGGAAAGGTGCTTATTTGGGTGCAATTTTTGGTTTTCATATCGTAGCACTGAATGGCATGAGTAAAGCTAAAAGCATTTTGTGAACCTCCGAATACAAAAATCTTTGACTCCACATATGCACAAGTGGCATCCGAAACTGAAACAAGTAGTTTACCCTCTTCTGACCATTTATTTTCAACTAAACTGTATTTCTCAATGGAGTTAAAGCTGTCATGAGACATTGTTTTCCCGCCAATAACAAATATGCTTGTCTCGGTCCCACACATACAATGACCAAAACGCCCCAATTTCATTCGTGGCAAATACTGCCATTCATTTGTGTGGCAATCGTACCTGATGAAATTTGTGAGATTTCCGGATCCCCCGGATATGAAGACATTTTTCTCGTGATAGCATACTCCTGGGCTAGCTCCTGTTTTGTAATTTATTATCTTGTTCAATGAAAACCAACTGTTTTGCATCAAACTGTAACACACAATGTCTACATGATCTGAAAAAGTGTTGGGTCTAACAACAAGTAATACTTCATCATTTCTGAATTTACATGAGTTCGCGTTGCCTCTTTCGGCATCCAGTAGCTTTCTTTTGCACGAGGGATATTGTTGCAAGTATTTATTTGTTTCACAGAAGTGCTGAAGAACTTCCAGTTTGATTTGGGAACATGCAATATGCTCCATTAGAGATAGAAGAGTCCCTTCGTCTTTACTGTCCTGGCCATCAAACCATTGAAGAATCAAATCTAAAACATGAATCTCCTCAGAAACTATCAAGTCGTCGCTTGATACTAATCTTACTAGTGTCTCGTAGTTGAGTTTTGCGAAAGATCGATTTCGAAATGATTTCACGATAGTTTTCTTCATAAAATTCGTGACATCGTTTATTAGAATTTCACAACTGCATGATTCTGCCAACCTTAGTAAATCAATACAATTATCTAAGTCTATATGAGAAGCAAGAAATCGCTCACATAATCTTTGTAGTGGTTTAACTTGAAAGTACACGGACGCTGTGAATATAAAATCAGCGTTATTATTGTCAATGGCGCATTCTCCTGTGTAGATATATTCTATTATCTTTCCAACTGTTTTCTTATCAAATCCATGCAGTTCAATAGCATTTTTTCCAGTTTCCTTCATGCCAGACAAAAACATGGCGTCAAAGTAAGGAGACATGGCCGCCAAAACGACTTTATGACATCCGAATTCCTTTCCACTAACCTGTAAGACTACATCTGTAAATTTTTCTTTCTTCCAAAATTCTATCATTTGTTTTGAAAATACTCTTAGCCTTTCCCGCTCAATGTCTTCCCAAGATGTAACTTTTTTGGATTTAATAAGAAACTTAATGTCGAGTTCATCTGCAGGTTTAGCTATTTTGTTGACAAATTCAAAGACATCGCCTTCCATGCCGTCATATGACGCTTTATAGAGCTTCTCTATTAGATAATCTGCATTTTCCTTTGTGTTCAGTTCAGTTAAAAGCGATCCCAAACAAACATCATATACCCTTTGCGAAAATATGGCCAGAACGACTTTACGACAATACGTTTTGTTCTCCTTGCAGATCAGTAAGAAATCTACGTGTCTTTTTTCCTCTCTTAGTCGGGACAGTTCTTTTATTAGAAGCTGGCTGTGGCGAGTGTTCATCTACAAGATATAGTAAATAAAAGTTAAATTCCTACAATTCACGGCTGGGTTTCTCTTAACTATCGCAAGATCTGTCCTGGAATCGACTTAAGACTATCTTAAGATATGACTTATGACGATTATAAGATGCATGTATGTCACTGCCATTCACAAAGCTATCTAAGTATTAGAATTATTAAGACAGGTACTAAAACAAATTTCATACCACAATTTTATAGGAACTTGCAAAAAAAATTAAGCTTGCTCAAAGTTATCTGGATTTTGCTTTTATTCGATTTTTAATATTTAATTATTTTTACATGATAGTGATTCTTTAAAGAATAGTATTTTAAGCTTTTAAAGTAAAATTTAAAAATATTATTTATAAGTTTAAAAATAAATTGTGAATGCCCCAACTACAAATTTACGTTCTTTTTCATTATTACTGAGGGAGGGGGGGGGGACTGCTAAATTACTCTCTAAAATGTGAACAAGTTCGAATTCATGCAGGAGAAATTAAATATTGATTAACATTAAATAACTAAATAACTCTAAAAAAGAAAAAATACGAGATCCTTATAAGAAATTTTTGACAAGCAAAATTAAAAAACCGACAACAAAGAACAGAACGTAAAACCTATTTTGTAAAGAGGGGTGAGCTTGGAAACTTCTAATGGACATTCCAACAAGCGTTTTCCTTCACGTACAATACATGCAAAACTCCTAGCTCTTACCAATTTACGAGGGGTACGTGTTTCCTAGTGGGGCTAAGCTCACTTTTTGAAACATTACTATATAAAGTTGATAACATGAAGGGAGTCCAAACCCTCTGGTCCAGCAGCTGGATCTTCCTATTAATCATTCATATAGTCCAAGAAGCTGCTCCTTTCACTATTTATTCAATTTTTCTCTCAAGTGCCTAATGTTTAGAACCAAAAGGTAGGCTTCCACCTTCTTAAAATTTGAATTGAGACATGTAAATGACATGTGATTAAGATTGATACTAGTTAAGTTTATCACAAGATAAGCCAAGAACAGTTTCGTGAAACAGCTTTAAATAATATTTTCGGTCTAGTCATAAGATAGTTTCGTGAAACGGGCCCTAGTATTTTTTGTCCTATCATACGTACGAGTTAATTAACATTGGCCTTTATAATTTACCTTAACGTTATATATCATGATCAATATATCTGCTTTAGTGTTTATGATTGTGTAAAAAAGTAAAAATTTGTTTGTACAATTTTTTCCACATTTTGAAACCAAAAATAATCCACCTACCTTTGAAAGAAAACAAGATCATTCAATCATTCCAACAGAAGACGTCGATACCCGGTAAACACGAGTAATCGGGTCAGTGTCAAGGTCATGCCTGAGTAAATTGCAGCGGGAAACTCAAAGCAAAAATTGGATCGTACAAAACACCTTTATGTTTTGAGGTTTTTAAGAGAGAAAATCATATATTGCCAGAATTTAAAAAAAAGGGGGGATTTGTTGTACGTGTACATCAATACTGGGTATCACTTATAATAATTGTACATTGTTGTGTGAATCAGCGAAGTTTACTCAGTATCGTGGAGAAATTAGATGTATATTTCATTGTTTAAAACTTTAATCGTATACTTAAGGAAGAACAGCCAGTAACACTATATTTATGCTATGGGAAAGGAGTAGTGGGAATTTGGATTAATCCAATAATATATTTAAATTATATATATAAATAAACAGATTGAAAAAAAATAAGCAAAGCAACCCAAATTTAGACAGTATATAGAACGTGCTCCTTAATTTTTTCCAGAAGGAAAAAAAAGGTTATCATTGCAAATATCACGGAGAACGGGTTCACGAAAAAAGTCTTAACCCCCCCCCCCCCCCAAAAAAAAAAGAAAAAAAGAGAGCAAAACTCCTAACTTCTATATCCTGGAAGGGGTGGGGAGGGGTGGGTGGTTAGCACCAGTCAAGGGCAGATTATTTATTTTCTTGCCAGTCGAGGACGGATTATTTATTTCCAACTTTTTTGAGGACAGATTATTATTTCCAAAATCTTCCAGCCCCCTCATCCCCCTTCAAAATCAAACAAATGGTCGTACTCTTAGATTTTCCTACATTTATTTCAATGTTTCTGAAAAGGGTGGTTGTCATGGACGCCTACATAACACATCGGAAATTAAGGCCCTAGAAGTTGCGATTGATACTCCTCATTATGTAAATAACAGGGTTCTTATAACAGCAACTTTTATGCTCAACATATAAGAATCATCATTTTCTCATAAAATAGGTGCTCCCCATCTAAATCAATAATTAAAAAAACACTATACACTATACAAAGGCGTCGGAACCGAGGGGAGGGGGCTAGGGGGGCTTAGCCCCCACCCCCACTTCTTTTGCAAAGATAGACATAATATAGGCATTGAAAATAGGGGCTTATCTTTTTTCGTTGGTTTAGCCCCCCCCCTTTCAATTAGCCCCCCACTTTCAATTTGCTTCCGACGCCAACAACTGAACAAGGCCTCCAACTTCCGCTATTTTGGCTATTATATTTCGGCCGGAAGTAGTCAAAGTGTTTGACATAATTCTGAACAAAATAACTGATCATCTATGAATGTAAACTGTTTATGAAAATATATATCATACAATGCTTGAAACAAACGTAGTTACAGACTTCAGGCACTTACCGACGAGATTAGGGGATGAAAATGGCGGCTAGTTGCAGGCCTTGTTAATTCTATAGTGTAGGGGTACATTTTTTTTTAAACTTGCTGATTTAGATGGGGAGCGTCTTTGGGTCATACATGTATTCAATGTTTTAGATCTTATGTAAAGACGTGCATAAATCATACAATCATTTATACAATAATTATGTAGCACAATCAGTTCGAGATAAATTACATTTGTTAATAAATGAGTGTGTTATTTTCAGTATTTTTGGACATTTGCTATCAAAACAAAACTTTAAAACTTTTTTTAGTATTAGACATATCTGACATGGCCGTAGGAAGGAGGCGTGCCCCCTATAATTTTGTCGATATATAGATTACTATAGAAAACATAGCTTCTATATGCTTGTGCCCCTCCATTAAAACGTCTGATGAACTTTTTTTGTTTGCCTGTCTGAAATCTTTTTTCCTTCAATACAATTCATCAAGTTTCCTTCAAAAGTTAACCTACGATTATTGTATTTTTGACAGCTGAATAGAAAATGAAATTCCTCTTCAAACGCTCCTGTGTTACAAATATTGCAAAATCGTTCATCTCTTGGTATAGACAAGTGTCTCCCTTTTTCTATGCTAGATTTATGTGCACTACGTCTTTTTTTTCTCTCTTTTTGCAATTTTGCTCCTTTTCTTTTCTGTAACTTTGTTCATTTTTGTATTTGCTTTCTTCTTTTGTACATTCTTACTTTTGCTTTAATTATTAATTTATTATGTATTCACCTTGACCTTGATGTAGGGAGAGGGCTAAAATAGGCTGAGCCTGCTGCCCAATCCTATTCACTCTTACATCTGTGAATAAAATTTTTTCTTCTTTTTTAGTGATAAATGAAAATTCTAACTTATCAATTAAAAATAAAAAAATAATTCTTAGTCCAAGAGTTTGTTTGGGATGTTGCTTTATAGATTTTATAGATGTCAATATATTCTTAGAATTAAAAAGATGGTTCCAAAATTTTGTACATAAAAAATGAATTCTTGTTCATAGAGGTTATCTATCAAAATCTGCTCTACAAGGAGCATTAGTAGTTTTACAATGTTCTCTTAAAATCTCCTTTATAAACTTCATGTGAAATTTTCAGTTATAAAATTTTCAAGAAGATTAATATTACTCCAAATCTGAAAGCGATACAGAAGAATCAGTGTTACAAATAGAGCCATAAAGGTTTCCAAAGTTTACATGGATTATCCAAATCAATGGTTTTCTTAATCTTAGAATGAGCTTTTTTTGCCTTTTCCACTATTACCGACATAGCTATAGTGTAAATTCAGGTTTCTATTACATTCCAAAGTTAATTCAAACTAGTTATAATTGTAACGGGGACCGTTACAGATGTTCCCCAAACGCTCCCCAACCTCCTTTTGGTGTCTTATTTCCAATAAGTTTCATTAAATAAGGCAATCAAGTACATTGGTTGTTTTACGCATTACACGAGCGCGCACGTGCATGCATGTGCATGCTGACCATGTCATCTTGTCTATACTATTAATACATCTTTATATTCTGAGTGTCAAAACATTTCATCAAAAAATGTTTTAAGTTATGGCTATATCAGGTATATGAGTCATTTTAGAATTTCATGCGTGCGCAAGTGCAGGATGACCACACCATTTTGTCTGTATGATCAATATATCTTAAAATAATGAGTATCAAAGCATTTCATAAAATATTATAAATGTTACAGCTAAATCAAGTATATAGGTCATTTTAGCATTGCATGCACGCGCATGTTGACCATATCATCTTGTCTACACTATTAATATATTTTTATATAATGAATATTAAATCACTTCATCGAAAAGTATTAAAGTTACGGTTATATAAGTGTATAGGTTATTTTAGCATTGCACGCGCGCGCACGTGCATGCATGTACATGTTTACCAAACTATCTTGTCTACACCATTAATATCTTTCTATATTATAAGTATTGAAGCATTTCATCAAAAAGTATAAAAGTTGCAGCTATATCAATTTTATAGGTCATTTTAGCATTGCACTCGCGCGCACGTGCATGTTGACCATATCAACTTTTCTACACTCTTAGTATCTGTCTATAGTGTAAGTATCAAAGCATTTCAACAAAAAGTATAGAAGTTACAGCTATATCAATTATATTGGTCATTTTTCGCATTGCACGTGCGCGCACGCGCATGCATGGTCTTGAATTCAATTTTGATAGTAGCATAATGTAGGAATCCATTATACCTATTTATATTCTAAATTTCATCCTGTTTTGTTGAGAACCAAGAGAGATATAGCCATTTAAAGTTTAAGCCAATCAGATTGCAGCACACGCGCATGCGCG